CTAAACCCAAAGCCCTAAACCGTGAACCCTGAACCCCTAAACCCTTAAACCCTAAACCCAAAGCCCTAAACCGTGAACCCACCCAAAGCCCTAAACCCTAAACCCTTAAAGCCTAACCCAAAGCCCTAAACCCTTAACCCTAAACCCAAAGCCCTAAACCCAAAGCCCAAAGCCCAAAGCCCAAGGCCCTAAACCGTGAACCCTAAACCCAAAGCCCTAAACCGTGAACCCTAAACCCTATTCCCCAAGGTGAACTCCGAACCTTGACGCCGATCGGAAGACACAGCCCTGGCTTGTATCTCTAAAAGGCTTTAAGGTTTAGGGTTTAGGGTTTAGGGTTTAAGGTTTAGGGTGTAGGGTGTAGGGTTTAAGGTTTAGGGTTTAGGGTTTAGGGTTTAAGGTTCACCTGTAACCGAAAAGACCTACCTTCTTAAGGAGCTATATATAGAAACCATGTTAAGGAACCCTGAAAAGGTCTTTTCGGTTACAGGTAGGGCATCGGGTTTAGGGCTTAGGATTTAGGGGATAGGGCTTAGGCTTAGGGCTTAGGGTTGAGGGGTTAAGTATCCATATGGGGGGATACGTACCCAAAGCATAATAGAAATGCCTACTATGAAAACCGCACTGTCCACTTTCTAGGTATTGTCCTTAGGACGCTTTGGGTCTGGAGAAATTCGATGACGAGTGAAGACCGCAACAGCGAGAACTACAACGGCAAGGCGCGGCTGCCCTCGCAGCTTCTGCCCCCTACTTAAAGGTTTAGGGTTTAGGGTTTAGGGTTTAGGGTTCAGGGTTCAGGGTTTAGGGTTTAGGGGTTTAGGGTTTAGGATCATGGGAAAATGTAACTAGGCCCAATTAACCCTAAGGGTCCATGTACCCATTAGTATATACAGTACATTGGCCCCAAAGTGCCTATATAGGGACTACCTTAAGGCCAAAGTATATCTATTTGGGCACATGGACCCTGAGGGTAAGGTACTTATAATACCCTACTTACTAAGTCCCATGATCCTCCAAGTAACCCTGAACCCTCGAACTTGAACCCTAGACCCAGCTGGTGCCTGAATGCTGTCGCCGTTCCATCGAAGTTTCACCTGCCCGAAAACTCAACCCTACACTCAGGGTTCAGAGATGCTCAAGACTTCTAAGGAAACCAGTTCTGACGCTGCGAAGGCTGAGGGAAAGTTAGAACGTCTCTTCGTCTGCGGTGACTACCTGTTGTTTCGGGTTACAACCATGCTACGGATGGTACCGCAATCCTGAGCAAGGCGCCCCATGTAACTTCACGGTTTTTACCCTAATTCAGGAGTACTAGGGTTTAGGGTTTAGGCTTTAGGGTTTAGGGTTTGGGGTTTAGGGTTTAGAGTTTAGGGTTCTGGGTGCATCCCCCTCTTGATTGCTCAGAGGCTCGTTCGCCAAACCAAACCTTGCAGGACCCCCTCCCCCCCTGCAGAATCTCGAAGCAAACGCCCGAGTTCATCTTGCTAACCTTGGGGACGACATGAACCCTAAAAGGGTTTAAGGTTCATATACCATATAGATTCATAATATATGGGAACAAGGCCCCCCCTACTTTTAAGGGTCATTTGGTCCTCAAGGAACCCTACTTGCTAGGTAAACGGAGCGTCCATCCGAATCAACAAATGACCCGAAGGGTCCAAGTACCCATTACTGATGAGCATACTAAGTGCGACCGACACTCACTGCGATCCTCAACCCGCATATTTAGTTCGAAGTTGGTGGATATGGTTCGGTCATGAACAA